TCTTGTTTCTTTCTTATCTTCATTTAACGCTCTCCTTGGGTGAAGACAGTCCTACTAGTGTGCCTTCTTCATTGGTGCGATGCAGTATTGCAAAGCGGTACGGAACCGAAGCACGCTAGCATGGAATGCACAGCATACTGACATGACTGGCCCCGCCTATATGGCCAACGTGGAACCTGCCCTTAGTTTTGCGACTTGTAATTTCATTTAACCATAGAAAGCTAAGCGCTTTTCACTTGATGGGACCACCGAATGATGTTAGCAAAGCCACTCCAGCTCACCTTTTGATGATCCGTGAACTCCTATTACCAAAAAGGCTCACTTCTACTAATTTGCAGCTTCAAGGATTTACGGATGTCACCAAAGTGAAATCTGTCAGTCAACAAAGACAAGCAAAACGAACTAACGAAAGTGCGAAAAGTCCCCAAGGCCCAAAGCATAGAAAAATTGAAATATTAGGTCATCCCATTCAAAAGTGCCGTCGGTTTTATTCGAATAAAACAAAGAGGAGAATAGATAAAAAAGTAATATTTTGGCTTCAAGTTAAGTAAATCCCTCCTTCACCAATGACCCGCTCCCAGTGCCCCGAAAGCCTTTGGACCTCTGGTACCTTCGATTTTTCAACAAGTGCGAGTAAATTGCTGTTGATGCCAATTTCGGCGAATGACAAAACATTGTAGCGTTTGCCGTCGGAGAGTACTCTCGACTGACGAGAACAATTGGAATCGCTCGGCTTTATGTCGGGCGAATGGGGCGATTGAACCCAGGTCTCAGTATTGTTTGTGTCCCAGCACCGCCCTACAATACCCACTACTCGGGGTCTGGCACTATGACGAGCAACGGTGGCCTTCTGTAGTTGTGTGGTATCATCCATTTGTCGATCTGAATGCCGAGGAACAGGTAATGCGCACCACAGCTGACGATTCCTTTTTCTGTATAGAGCCGCTTGAAAGACAGTGTGAGGATCTTTGCGTATGATGATCATCCTCCACTTGCTCCACGTAACTCTTTCATGATAAGATCTCGGGCGCTTTCTCTTCGTGTTCATTTACAAAATTGCGTTGGAGTTTCCGCTTCGAGGTCCGAGACCACCCATATTTCATCTAGGGCCGGGGTGCGTTTTCACAGTTGTGAGTGACATCTCATGCTGAGAACATTACTGCTGGAGGTATAGAATCGGTACTGCGTTCGTGCTTCTACAAGAAAATTAGGTACCCATGCGCACACCCTCAGTTTATCGGACATAACTCGGGCAGCAGTTGCAGCTGGTCAGACTCGCGGGGAATCTCGACAAGGTTCAGGCTCTGTGATCAGATATTCAGCGCTTGACTTCATCCACCCTTTTTTCTTGTGCAGGATGAACATTATGGGACCATCCACGACAACAAATTTTTCCTTTCTTTCTTCTTCGGCCTCCCGAACAAACCTTCCGCCTTGTACTTCGAGAGAACACCTTTTGCACACAACTACTGGTCCGGCGCCGGTCGAATTTGAGCAGCGCACTTCCTTTTATGACGTCTGATTTGAAAAATCGGGCGCTGATTTTCACCACTCGGGCTTCTCTTCAATTTCTCGAGAACTTCTTCAGAGGCTAGGTTCGCCAAATTTCACAGATACACAGCTAAAGGTACTAGCCTCCAAATGGTATAGTAGCCCGCTTCCCTATCCCCTTTGCTTTTCTGCCATTCCTCTATATGTCTCGGCACTTTTGAATGGGATGACCTAATATAATATTCATGCCTTCGGGTCGGATTTGGAAGGTGACATTATAGATGAGTTTTTTGTTCAGAGTTTAGTTAGGTTAGACAGTTAAGAGGTTTTTTCTAAAATAATTCTGTGAGTAATGCCTAGGTATTGCTATAAAGGAGCATCACCACCTCTCGGTCAGAATATCTGATAAGGTCCTCGTGTGTGCGAGCAATCATACCATTTTCACTTTAAATTCACCCTTTTTCAAACCAAATTCACCCCTTTTCAAACCAAATTCACCCCTTTTCAAACCAAATTCACCCTCACTTTCAAATCAAATTAACCACACTTATTAGGCCGGGCAACTCATCAACCAGATCACACAGACACCACTGCGAGCCGCGACCACGCCCACTTACTTTTTGCAGAATTTTGATATTTTCTTCAAAATTTTTCGCATTTTGCGGACTGCTACGTGAAGCCCCGCCCCACTTTTCAAAAATGGTGCAAATCGGCAGTATAGGGTCTTGGCTTTCATGCTAGGGTCTCGTTCGTCACTCGGAACAAACTTTGCCTGATTTTCTTGTTCCGAGTGACGAACGAGACCCTAGCATGAAAGCCAAGACCCTATACTGCCGATTGCACCATTTTTGAAAAGTGGGCGGAGCCTCTCACAGTGGGCGGGGCTTCACGTAGCAGTCCAAAAATGCAAAAATTTTGAAAAAATATCAAAATTCCGCAAAAAGCAAGTGGGCGGGGCTCGCAGTGGTGTCTGCGTGATCTGGTTGATGAGTTGCCCGCCCTAATAAGTGTGGTTAATTTGATTTGAAAAGTGAGGGTGAATTTGGTTTGAAAAGGGGTGAATTTGGTTTGAAAAAGGGTGAATTTAAAGTGAAAATGGTATATATGCGCGTGATCCTGATCGTGCCATTGTGACTGACTGCGCTCCGTTGCTCACTGGACTGCTGCAACTGCTAATTTAGTCACAATTCAGGATAAAACTTATTTCGAGGTTTGCAGCGGTCCAACGATTAGCGGTGGAGCGCGGTCACTCTCACACGTGCGGCTGAATAGCTCAAATCTCCGAGTATGAACGCGGCCTTGACTACATAGTGATCGATTCAAACTTAATTTCCAGAGAATTGAAATCATTGACGGCGAAGTGAACGTTTACCACGATCGCGTAGTTCAATACCAGTTGAAAAGCATGCAGGTAGTTTTATTGATTGTATTCACTTGCTTGATTACTGGTTTTTTAAACTGTAATTGATCTGGCATTTAATTGTTCCTTACTTGACGTTCTGTACACTTCCATCATTCCACCGATTTCATCCTACGGTAATTACATGGGTTTACTTGGCAGTGCTTTGCTCCACCCACTTGAAAATGCTCCGCCTTCATTTGAAGTCACCTAATTTTTTTCAGTATCTGGGACCGATTCTTATGGGAATTGGCTCGTTTATCCTGATCATCGCATGTGTGGTAACCTTGGAGAGCAGAGACAAACATGCCCAGGTTCTTTCTAATTACCTTATCACCTCGTATAATTACTGTATTCATTACTCTAATGTTCTCCAGGTAATCACCGAGGAATCGATGTCATTCAAGAAACGACGAATGATGTCGATTGAAGAGCGAGCAGAATTGTCCATAAACGAACGCACTTCGGAGGATGAAAGCCCTGTTACGCCCATGATCGAAAACAAGACCAAAGTCGACAACTACAGGTAAGAACTAATCTGTACAAATTTCGTCCAAGGCCCGGTTATCACTGCGGATTTACCGGTTCTCGCTGATTCTGATTTTTTAGCGATTTTTTTTGAATTTTCGCTATTGCACTTCCTTTCAGGAATACCATGTTGACGTTGCTTTCTCGAATTCTCAACAAAATAATTTCCATTTCAGCATCAGCACTTTGGCCGAAGTTCATCGGCCTCGTCCAGCTGCTTCACGGACAGCTCCACTGGCTGAGATTGACTCATTGGTGAGTCAATAAATTCTGGTGATATTTTTCCGCCGGAAATGGCCACTTAACCTGTCCTGTGAATAATTTAATATTGCTGTGAAATGACAGCAATTCAGGTTTCTTGACAATCCACCATTGTACCCCAAGTTCCGGCATTTAGAGTCCATTCCATGCTCCATGGGAAAAACTCACTCTTACATCGAAATCGTTAGACCCCTGAATTCCCAACTCGGAAGCTCGGGGCGCTCCACGGCCAATAGTTGGACCGCTGTGTGCTGATTCCAGTCGCATTTCTCGGGTATGATGCCCATACATGTACAGCTGAGATCGTCGCAATCAGTCGAGGCGGAGTTAAAAGGTATAGCATGGCTCGCCAGTGGCATTTCCACCACTAGTTGTTTCCTTCCTGAATCGACCACTGACCACCTATTGGTAGAAAAAAAAGGGCCACAAGCTGGCTCGTTCCCCACTTCCTGATGAATCCCGACTGATTACTACCATGCAAATAAATGCGCCTTATACTACAGGGAGCAATTTTCTCGACATTTGCAGTGGGCCAACGACTAGCGGTGGAGCGTAGTGCGCCGCTCTAACTCCTGAAGTATATACGCGACGTGAATCATTCGGAGCTTTCTTCAACTCCCCGTTCCCCCTGTCCTTTTGTGAACTGAAGTGAGGAGAAAGAGTAGCCAGATCTACGGGCAGATTCTTTCAGCCCTTCTTAGAGTAAACGGTTGTACTGATACTCACCTCCGTGGATCCTGATCCTTCCCGTGTATGAAATGAGTTGGTCCACAGCTGCAGTGGCGTGTCACTTTCTCCGCTCTGAACTGCGCGGGAACGAGGCTGAAGGGTAGTGATACCCGGTGCCAGCTCCATACTTCGCCTCGCGTTGACCCGCGGCCACACGCGTCTGATCATAGCAGACGTGCTACTAGTTTGACGGATAGCTGTACTCCACAACTGGGAATGTGCTTCGCTGCGGGACCATGGTAGTTGCGCAAGTGCTGTACCTTGAAGTTAGCGGAGCATGGGGCCGGCACCGAGTACCACTACTCTCCACCTCAAATCCGAGGCATCTTTGAGTGAAAAAAGTGGCATACCATTGCAGCTGCGGACCCATTCGCCTCGCATAGAGCAAGGACCGTCCTCGGAGGTGAGCGTGCAGTTTGTATTCAACTGAAGCTTATTCTATTCCTACTCATCTCCCACTCTCTATACAACTCATCTTGTACGCTTCTCACGATGGTGAGGTGGCGACAATTTCCCAGCCACAAACAACTTTTTCTAAACTTGGTAGTAGGTCCACCACATTTGTGGGAGCTGAATTTCCTTATTTCAGGACCTACACTCGTGTTCAAGTCAAGTGACATCAGATCGGGAGATCCTGGCAACGAATTCCGAATCTAAGGAAGCATAGCTCCGATGTTTATCCACTGAAATTCTCGTATCCCTTGAGAATTTCCCTCGACTGCACCATGATATCTGAAGAGCCGAACGGATTTTCCACAGCATACATGTCCGCACTACGCATCGTTGAAGACATTGCCAACTTTTCCTGACAGAAGCACTGTAGATATCACTTTGTCGTGGTTTACAGTGTTCTATCTGTAAATGTTCACGGTACATTTGATCTGACGATATCATATTAAAGGCACGGTCCGCGATCAGGTATAGAAGGTTGAAATATGGCGTCGAGAGGGCAGTGTGGTCCCCGACGAACAACCTTGTACCCTTTTGCGGCAAAAAGCTGTAAGGGGGATGCTATGGCGCAATATAGGTTCAGTGACGCCTCCTTTTTTCCAGTGACTCCGCCTCCAGACTCCGCCTTCAAGGCCCGCCTTTCAGTGGAAAACGAAGCTGCAGGACGAAAAAGCATGAAAATCGTCACTTGTACGGTCGTAGAGTTCTTATCGGGGAATCAGCTGTGCGGATGGGGCGTAGTGTTGGAGATGGAGTTAATTGGGCACGTACAAACTGGGATCGAAATGGGGTTCTATTTAGGGCAGTTGGCATGTTTTTTCTGTTTTTTCTTCACTATCGAGTTGCTCAGCACCTTGTCGTCTATATGGAAACCCCTAATCCACTATCTGTGATGGCGAATGATCGCAGACTTTGCCTTTAAGGTGTACGTCTGGTGCTCCAGCCAACCTCCGGCGATATATAGTCTTTGTTCGCCTCCGGATGAAGCGGCGTCTCACGTTTGATGGTTTGCGCGGTTTTCAATCCATTTCCTGGACTTGATGGACTGAATATGCTACCATAATAATACAGTCTTTGTCCTTCCCCAACAACTGGTGGAAATTTGCTTTGGCGCCGCGCCAAACCCGTCCCCTCTGATATGCCCCTTCATCCGCAGCGAATAGGACTAAAAAAGGGTCAGACGTGCTCGGATGAGCCGAAGAGTTCCAGGAATTGAGCTGGAATATTAATAACTGTATTCAATTATTATGTTTGATGACTTCGTTCTCTGCGAGTGTGCCTGGCCCAACCCTTTATTTCTTCTCAAGTTGCGAATAACTAGTCGTTGTGTTTCCTTTCATCATCCTTGTTTACGGGTACTGTTTGTTGATGTTTGCTTATATGAAACTTTACATAATATAAACGTTTATTGATTGTTTTCAAAAGTCGAAGAAGAGAGATTTTGGCGTTGTGCCAATGCCGCTCTTGTCGGTTTTTCCGCGTTGGATTCAGCGAGTGCCAGTCGACTGGAGTTCTGCCCTACACAAATCCTTTGCAGTCTGCCTTTCACTGCCATTGTGATCTGCATTTTCCGGAGCTGATCCGTTCGTTTCTTGTACTTCTGAAAAGAATGGATAACGTGGTCGGCGTTACAATGTTTTCGTTGGGAAATCCCTTAGGGATACGCCATGCCCTCGACTGCCACTCAAATGGTCACAAATTGAAAGCCGTAGAATGGCACGTGAAGGTCAGCCGATCCACCAGTATGTATTCCACACGCTTTCAGACTAACAGTGTCGGGGTGGCTCCACATTTTTTGACTGGTGTGGGTAGGCTAGGGTTCTGAAGGTTTTTTGTTGCGCTATTCACATCGTGAAAAGACTCCCAGAGTAGGGAGGGGAGGGGGGTGCGGTTGTACAAGGAGAAGTAAATTCGGGAAGTTAGTCAATTTTCGCAAGAATTCTGCCACAGGAAATGCTCTGATTGTGAGCTAAGCGACCTGGAAGTCAGCCAAATGGCTTCTCTTTAATCCTACACATTTTTGTTACTCGAGTATGACCTACCATTTTCTCGTGCTTCTCAAGCG